CGTGGAGAATGGAAAGCTGCTGTCAGCTTGATTCTTGATCCAAGAGAAGGGGATATCCTTTGCTATTTCACTTTATCCATAATTTTGTTTTTTTTTTCACTCTCTCTCAACCCTTAAACATGAAAGTCCTCTTCCCCAACATTTTTTAATAAAAAATATTCTGTATTATTATGTGTGCCTGTAGGAAATAATTGTTCTCCTTAACTTTAACCTTGAATACAGAAGAATGCCATCAGTACAGTAAGGGAGTATTACAAGGAAAGTGGTGACATTGATGGGACTCTAAGGCAGTTACCTCGTTATCTGGTGGCTGAAAAGGCAATTGTAAGTTCCAGTGAACAACATTAAATTTATCCCACACTTGAGTCCTTTAGTTATTATCTGTAATTTCCAAAAAAAAAGGAAGTTGAAGTCAGCCTCTATTATTACACCTATGTAAGTCCGACATCCCAAAAGTAAGCTAATGTTTTGCTCATGATGAGCGTCACCATTTAAAGACTTGCAATAATCCAAGTTTGCCTAAAATTTTAATTTATTTTTATTCTTTTTTTTGCTTTGCATTATTTGTGCTGTCCTTGACTTCCCAAAGTAATTGAGTTTCTCTGGGATAGAGCAGGTCATATTTTTGTTCCAAATTTTTTATATTTAAGCAATATTTGTGATATGAGATTGTGTGTTTATGTTCTACAATTGACATTTCCTGTCAACATTATACAGTTGCAGTGCCTGAAAAGATCTCCTGGAAACTATCTACAAGCTCTGAAGGCCATACCCAGGACTCTCCGAATGATGTAAGTCTTCATAGTAGGATTCACTATTTTCTTCTTGTACTTAACATATTTATCTGAAATTTAGTGATTGAAAGGTGAAAAAATAAAGTGTAAATACATGCTACTCATTCTTCCTAGTCACTTCCCTTGAGTCTTTGCGTTAAATCTACCTGAGATTTGCATTTTGATAATCCTTTTCGTGAGCTCTCTGATCAAGGTGCTTCAAAGACGTTTGAGTTATCAGCTCTGAAATAGTAGGGTCAGTGTGCCTGCTCCTCAGTTTTGTTGAACTACTGTTAGTTTCAAGCCAAAGCTTCTTTCTTACTGCTAAAGCTGTTATTATTTCTTTACCCATACTAGGTATCCGCTTGCTAGATGGGTGTCACCATAAGGCAACTTCATCTAGAAAAATATATTCCTCCCCAAGCTTTTGCACATCCCTCACACCCCCCTCTCCCCAACAAGGAAAAAAGAAAACACATGAGCATGAAAAAGATGTGAATAGTCTAAGAGTCACATCCCAAACTACCCTCTAGACGTGATTGACACCCAAGCACACACCACTGGTCAGGCGAACCCAATTACCAAATAACCTCTAATTAAATTAGGGTTGTTACACTAAGGCCCTTAGTTGTTTTTCTTGTGTTTCCATTTTTGAAATCTCTCTTTCTTGCAACTCCGGAAAGTAAATCCTTGTAGAAAATTAAACAAAGATAATCACAACTTATGATCACCTTTTCCTCTTGCATCCCCTTCCTCGAACAAATTCAGTATATATGCGGGGCTTGTTTATCAGAGCCCTTGATTTGATAGATCCTTCTAGTTATACCCTCCACAAGGACGTGTCCGAAAGATATGCTTGATGAACATTTCAGGAAGAAACCCTTCTGAAATTACTTGTTTGTAAATTCTTGAAAAGTTTTTCTCTGTGCCCAACTTCTCTAGTGCTGTATGATCCCAAAATCCTTTACTTTTTTCTGTTTATGTATCAAACCTCTGATAGTATAGTTCAATGCATAACTCATTGGGTCTTAAGGTAAATGCTGTGAAACCATTGACTCAACTCTAAACGAGAACTGTGAAGTTAAAGAAGGTGAAACATTCTAGTAATTGAAAAGCTATTCAGTTTCATAGAACTCTACAGCTTCTTACCTGCTTCCAAGAGTGTAAAGCCATAAACATCAATTGATCATGAGATTTAAGGGGCTTAAAGCATTGGGAGTACAGAAAAGAGTCATGCATAACTTTTCAAGTTTGAGCTTTTATAATGATACAGATCTTCTCCTTTTTAGGTATGTTCATAGCTATCAAAGTTATCTTTGGAACCATGTGGCAAGCATGAGAGTGCAAAAACATGGTTTGCGTTATTCAACTTCTATTAACTATTTTTCCATATATATGTTGATCAGAATGTACTTATGGGTGCTTCGGTGTGCCACTGATTCTCATACATTTTCATTGCCTCATATCATAGGGTTTGACCAAGTTGTGTTGGGAGATTTGGTGTATTCAAAAGAAGAGTATAAAGTGAAAGAATCTTTTGTTGCTGAATGTGAAGACGTGAATGACAATAATATGGATGATTATAGCAATCTGGATGAGATCTCAGAGACTGATCTTCCTGAAGAAAGAAATATACCAGTCAAGGTTGGTACCTGGATTATCTCAGGACAAGAGCTGTTCTAAATTTCTAAGCGAAGAGTTTATGTGAAAAACATTGCATGGCAGATGGGTTCATATGTATTCCCTCCATCTCTACGTAGAGTTCACATTTCATATTCCGAGGACATAGTAACAAGAACCCCTAATTAGATTACACAAAAGACCTTTTAGCTACCTAGCTCGCTCTCTGGGTCTCCAGCTTGATAAAGCTCAAAACAATCCCAAATTTTGTACAAATGTTCCTCCCTGATAGTATGTTTTATAGAATATGTCCAAATGAAATAACGAAAGGGATACATCCTAATCACTTTGATTTTTCATTTGATTGGTAAAGTTATCATTAGGGTTGAGAATTATAGGGCGCTCTAAAGCAGGTGGTATATCATATCATGAACTTACTTGCAAGGATGGTTAGTGGCGTACTGCATTTTGACTTTAAGAGGCCAACTGCTAAATCTTTATGCAACAACTATGCCTCTGTCCCAAACAAGTCGGGGTAGGCTATATGAATCCTCACTGACCATGTTTTGCCATTTAAACTCATTTCAGGCCAACGTTTTACAAAATAAGAAGTATTAGAAGTTCTCTATATTTTGAGAGAAGTAATTGAGAACACCCTTAAACTTGTGTGAATTATTAGTTTCATCCCTGAACTATTCACGCCAAGTCCAACAGTGTTTTCGATACTTCTCTCCTATATCTTCTACTTGCATGTTGCTACCTAAATCCCTATATAACTGAAAAAGAGGAGGATGCAAAATGCAACTTGGTGACCTGCATGACCACCATTTATCCAGTTGTATGGTGAAATTGATGGTGTTAGCTTGCTATAGACTCTGCATGATTATCAATTATCTGTTACTTATGATATGTGGGGGAGTAGTTCTTTTCTGATGTTTAAAATTCCGTCTATATTAATTTAAATGTTAAAAAGTACACCTAGTGGCTTCACTCTCATGCCTAGTTCCTACTGAGGTTCCTAAGAGGTTAGGGAGAAGTTAAATTGATTAAAAAACTTTGCTCTTGTGGTGCCTCTTCTATATTGAGTTTCCTCGCATTGCCTGGTCTTGAGGCGTAGTTGTTTGGTACGTTTGCTTTTTTTCTGTGAGCAGTTCTCATCTGTCTTATTAAGTCTAGCGATATTTTCTGTTTGACAGGTTATAAATGAAGAAGACCTTAAATCTGGTACATATGCCATTGAGGACGTACTTCTACCTTTGCCTGGGTAAGATAAGATAATATAGTGTTTACAATATTCTTTGAGTTTTTGTTTGCTCTTGTTTGTGAGACATATTATAATGGCAGGTCTAGAGTTATTTATCCATCAAATGACATTGGTGAAGTTTACCGTGACTTGTCACAAAAGGTATTTTTTCTTCATCTAAAGCCTGAGCTTGTTGATACATGTACCGATTATACTTTGCCAATCACTACTTTTTCTTATGTGATTTGGCGGTACATTATTGAAAGAGAAATCAGTGAGGGATGGGAGGTGTTTGTTCCATAATGAAGAAAGAAACTACATGGTATTTGAAACTAGATGGGTTTGGCAGTACCATGCCATGTTAGTGCTGAGGAGGGATAGACCTGTAGCTATGAACAAGGACTTGGACTCCTATTTAACAGGCTCTTGTTTCTTTAAACATCCTTTTTCCTTTTCTCTGTGGATTGCTCCTTTCTAGCTGAACATCAATCTGCCTTTAGATTTGTCAGAGAAATTGCTGCCAAGTTGCACAACCTTTTCCTTTTAATCTCTTTCCCTGAGTGAAATTAGTTATCTGCAACTCTTTATTTGTAGTTTCTGAACAGCATCTCAAGTGCTTTAACCAAGAAGGCATGCAAAGCCGAACAGAATTGGGCTCACTGTCTCATATGATTTTCAGTATACCTAAAGTGACAATCATAACTTCATATTAGGATTATTAACATTCTGCTATGATGGTAACTAATCATATTCTAATTCATATAATGATGTTTTGCCATTCAAGATGTGCATTTAGCTTCTTGTTTAAATTTTGAAGTACATTGGGAAGTAGAACAATTTAAAAAGATTTGCATGTGAAGTTATCACTAACCTTTGTCCAGTTCCACTTGTGATGACTGTCGTTGCTGTTCTTAAATTTATTCGTGTCTACTCTCTTTATTTGTTCCGTTCTAATGCATTACCATTACCGGTCAGGATGGCATCAGCTTGACAGAGACTGCACATAAGATCAAGTGAGTAAAACATTTTTCTCTAATTTTGAATCATTCATCCACTTCTTCATTAGTTGCTTGATGTTTTTCTTTGTAAGTAAATTCTTTTTAGAATGCACGTCACGTCAGCATTATATGGTACAAGAAATCAATTGCTCCCTCTTTGTAACCCTCAAATGGCTCCTTCAAAAAAATTTCCAAGTCAAAAACTGAATTCTCCACCCAATTTAAGAGTTTTCTCTCTTCTGTTGCTTTCCCTAATATCACACTGCATATGTTTTTTTTTCTTTTTCATTCCATTGCTCTCCCCTGACCCATCTGCCTTGTATTTCAATTTCATTATACCCCCCCCCCCCCCCCCCCACACACACACACACACACAAAAAAAAAAAAAAAATTCTGGGAGGGCAAATGGTACACACCACTTAAAATCAACTGGGAGATTGCGTTGCGTCCTTCCTCAATTTCAAACCTGTTATTTTCCGACATAATTTTCAATGATTGGGATCATCTTAGTCTGGGAAATTCAGACTAAAGAATATTACATCTTTAATAACCACCGAGCTCGGTATTTCCCTGAATCTGTAACTAATAATTTGACCCTTGACATGTCTGTCAGCGACAAATCAGCTTTATATCATTCTCTGCGGCTTTCTCTAATCTACCAGAAACAGTTCATGTTCCATGAATGAAAAGGAACCACTAAATTAATGACTAGAATACCTGTTGTTTAGAGCATTACACGATGTGCTATAATGGTCCATCGATCAAGAAACAGGTAAAGAGTCCTTCATTGATCAAGTTCCTTGTCCCCACCATGATTTGCTTCTTGAAATCTAAGCAACATCACATCTTTGCCTGGCAATCGTCGATTCGGTTGCGACACCAATCCGAACTGTCCAATCAGCGATTCCATCTACCTAGAACGTCTGATGATCAAATCATTGCTAGGCATGTTTAAGGAAATTCTTTCTTCTGTCTACTCACTCGCGTGATACCGAGAATACATGCTCACTTCCTGCGGAAATCTGTTAAATTTGCTGTTGAGGTGTTAAGCACCATGTATGAAGTTATTCTCTAAAAGACCATGCCTAAATCATGCCTCCTACCTTGATGCTCTGATTTACTTTTATCCTTGCTATACAGTGGGCTTATTTTTCGTATAATAAATTTCTTGCACAAAAAAAAAGTAAAAAGGAGACCATATGTGGAAAAGGAGCATCCCATAAATATCTATGGGGTGCTCTCATTATCATTAACCCTAGAATGGACTGAAGTCTGAAGTTATGGATGAGAACAGAATTATCCTTTACTCTACAGTCTTTAATATTGCTGCTATATATGATCTGATGTTCCTGAATCTAAACCCTCCCTTATGCCAACTCTTGGGGCTTGTCCTCCTCTTTGTTGCAGAGAATTCTCCATAACCAATATGACCGGAGCTTACAGACGTGTGTTTCAAAAGCCAAAGGATTTTGAATGGTAGGTCAGAAATGGTTGCACATATCTAGTTTCAGTTCTTCTCCGTTGTCACGTTGTTCCACCCTTTCCCAGGTTTGCTGAATTTTATTCAGAATCCCAAGGACTTGTCACTTATCTTGTGTTAGGGCTTGTTTCGACCTGGATCTGAAAATACTTGTCAAGATATGCCTTTTTCTCCAAACTTTTAGTTTTCAATTCATTTATGTGTGGATCCTCGGAGATCACCTTTTTCCACCACTAGATAAAAAAAACAATAGTAATTTTGTCAACTGCTCTTATTATTATTAAATTAAATATTTTATTTCATTATAATCATCAATATGAATGTAGTTCAACATTATAAGTACTTTTGCTACTTCTGTCATAATGAATGCACTTCACTTTATGAAATTAATTTAGATCTCTGTAAAGTGCAACTCTGTATCAGAGGTTTAATTGTGATTTGGTGACTGATCTGAGTAATATATGCCAGTTTGAAAAAATGTTTCTTTTGAATACATTCTTTAGAATTGTGATTCTCGCCCCACCCTTGATACGCAAACCATCTACGTGGGATTGTAACTTATTGTTGTATTGGACAAGAAGCTTCCATTTTCGTCTTTTTGAATGCATTTATTGTTTTTGTAGGGAATTGCTTAGTTACACTGATGGAACTATACCTCTGGCTGAGACAGATTTTGATGTCATTGCCAATTCAGTAAAAAGCAAGGTCAGAGAGGAGGACCCGACCAATGGAAGCAAAGAGCTTCCTGCTGACTCTTCAGCTATCTCTGTAGGTGGTGACATGCTTTCTGGAAAAGTGCGTGACGAAAAGATTAACAATGAAGCAGGGATGCAATCAGAGAAATCTCAGAGTGGTGGTAATGCTGAGGAGAGCCAGATGGCTCTCAAGCTGAGCTTTACACTACCAGCTTCTTGCTATGCAACTATGGCTGTGAGGGAGCTGCTGAAAACATCCACTTCTGTATGTTAATTGACATTACTTTTACCATTTATCTTGTGACGAAATCAATAACATAAGCATATATTTCTCCCACCAAAAAGTTATCTTGATAAACCTTTTATGCTGACATAGGAAGTGTTAAACTTACCCGGGGGGGGGGGGGGGGGGGGGATAACTACAAAAGTAATATGTGACAGTCAGTGAGTTTAACAACTGCTGCTGACTTTGTCCGTTTTCACTGACCTAGCGTGAAATGTGTTATTTCTTCATATTGCGCATATTGATAGGTTGGTGCAGTGCATGGATGAAAGCTAATATTTTGTACTCGCTATGCAGGTTGCATTTCACAAGTCACTAAATGATTAAGCAAACGCTCGTCTACAAAGAAAATTTTGGCTTTTGAAGTGGTTACCTTTGCTAAGTACCATTGCATTAGATGATAAGGGTTTCTTTTCCTCTTAGCTTTTGCTTTTGAATTGCAAATTGTAATATGTTATTATAGGCGGTACCATTTTGAAAAAGATTCACCAAACAAAATGGTATCACCAGCAGCGCCCGGCCTACCCCTTCTCTGATTGCTTGCCCATTATGAGGGTAACAGAAACCTTGTTAATTAAAATTACTAGGTATCAAAGGAAATTGACTGAGAAACTTGCATGAGGCTGGCTTCTCGCTTTTTTTTTTATCTTGTCGTTAAATTTTGAAGAATAAATAAACATCTGCAGGTTTCGGGGAACATTGTTTTCCAGTGATCAATGTGATGTTGCAAAGGAAATTAGCCATGAGTTTCAGTCTCCGCCTTCACTTATAGTGCTTCAAGTTTCTTTCATTGTACTACTATTCACCTTTCGATAAGCTTGCTGATGATATAGTATTAGCAAATCTGTAATAGAGCCATTTGAATCGGATATATGCACCACTATTTGGAAGAGATTCTTTTGATGTAAACAGTGTTTTTGATATATCCTTATGTTAGATGGTAAGTGACGGAGCCAGGATTTTTGTTGAGGGGGTTCGAAGTATAGAAGTAAACACGTAAAAATTACAAGATGAAAAACAGAGCGGGATAAGAGGAAAATATTAATTTTAATCCGCTAAATTTAACTTATATTGTCATGTTGTGTTTAGGTTCTTCCTACTTTTACACTGCTGCATCGAGCTTTTAAATTTTTTAGTGTTTTTTTTTATTTTGCAGTATTTTTTTATTTTTTTTGAATTAGTGCCCATTCAATCATTACTAATATTATTGTGCATATTCAGAAGATAAATAAATGTCACCGTCGATCTTTTTAGTTCATTTAATTCAGTTTACTTGGTTAATCATTTGTAAAAAAACAAATTATGAATTAATCAAATAAGTTTAGTTTAGTTATTCATCTCTTTGGAATCGACATAAATATAGTAAGAAAGAGATACTATGAAATTAAGAAAAAAATACAATTAAATAGATTTTATTAAATGAATATTCTCAATTTGTCTTTGAAATATAATGTTTAATGTAAAATCATGTCTTTTTGGATTCTTCAATGTAGCATTGCAGGCTCAGTATTGAAAAATGCCAAGAGAAGTAAAAATATTTGTAACTGATATGTCCTTATGCTATTGTGTAATAAGGATTATTATCTTCTGGGTTTATAAACGTAGTTGAGAGATCCATAGGAGCTGATTTTGATGAAGCAATTACTGGTTTTTTTTATTTCTAAATATAGATATAACTGTGGGATTCATTAAGATGTTAAAATTTATTAAAGCTTTTGAATTTCTTGAAAATAGTACATGATATGGTATTTATACTACATTTAAAATTGCTATAGTGCAACACTGCGACTAATGTGTTTCTGGCCTAAAACATAAAATGGATTCACATTTAATATTAACAACACATTTCATGATTACAATTAACTCTTACAATTCTCCAGCAACAGTTTAAGTTTCAGTGTTTCACAATTGTGCATTGATATTTCTTAAGCAGAGTGTTTATGACCTTTTAAATTTATGCAAATTAAGTAAGAAAAAACAAAAGAGGAAAATATTTTTTGAAAAAAGACGAGAAGATAAATATGTTATTATTTAATTTTAAATTAATAAAATATTTTAATTTAATATAAGGATAATATATATATATATATATTTGGACACACACATTACGCGTGTAGCCCTTATCAAGTATTTTTCAAAAATCACATATATATGATAAATATATTAAAAAAAACCACATAAAAAATCAATGACAACCGTATCTAAAGTGTCCAACTTTTAAGATTCTTAATTAATACTAAATTAATTTTATTTTGGATTTAGGAGTTTAAAATTTGATATTAATTTGTCAAATTTTTGTAGTTTTTACATAGATATTATATTATGTTTTGAGCCAAAAACAATTAAGTTAATTAAACCCATAGATTACACACTTAATCCGCTCATATCATCAATTCACCCCTCACCCCTGTCCTAGCACCAAAACCTATGGAGTATTACATTTCTAAAAAAACTTCATTTATTGTGTTTTCTTTACTCATCGCAATTATAATATTTTTTAGTTAAAAAGGAAAATCAGCATTTAATTTATATATTATAAAACTGTTTTGATGAAATTTTGTACTTGAGAAACAAAAAGGCATGCTAATAAATATTATTACTATATGTTAATGATGAATAATATAAATTTTGAAGGATAAAGGGAGGTATACTTTATGGACCAAATAACTAAAATAATCAACTAAAATTAAAGCTAAGAAAGTTAATAGAATTTCATGAGAAAAATAACCAAAACATCCTGCCAAAACATATGAAAGTTGCAACAAAATAAGACATTTTGTTCATTCCTTTCTTTCTTAAATGGGCTTTTATCCTCCCTCCTTTCTTTTGAATGAAATTTCATTAAAAACATTTGAATTCGGACAAAGACAGTGAAGCCAAAATCTCTCAACATGCCATAGCTTATAAATAAACCCTCCTCCTTTATCCGGGCTTGGGACCGGCTGTGTTACATTACAAACAAAACACAGGCGGAGTTAAAAGACTTTTTTTTGGTATGGATCATCATGACCTGCCATCACTTTATGATCATAGACAAGTCACCTTCTTAGCACAGTCACGTTACCTTGAACAATTGAATTAACAATAGGAAAATATTTTGATTTTTTTTAGAATCTTAGATATTCCATAGCAAGGCATTGGTTTAGGCTAGACCAACTGAAATGTGCCAACTCTCTGTCTTCGGAATGTGTGACGGGGAGAAGAGGATCAATTCTAATGAAGGGTATTGTACGAGTATATTACTACTATCATTAATTAGGTATGACCTAACCCCAGCTGAAAGTGAGCGTGGATATTTTGAAAAAGTCATTCAAAGGCGTTAATCTTCGACTTTCAGTTAAGTAACCAAGATCCTAGTTTAGCAGTAGAAATATAGTCCTCAATTACTTGGAGGAACTCGTGAGACTCCAACCGGCTCACTCACTGGGACCTGGGGATACGCAACATAGGACATAACGGGTCAATTGGTGCATAGTATTCACACATAATAGATATATTTAAGCTCATTTTTGTCTGTTGTGATATACTTTAGTTTGATAGATTTAGCATTTAGCTCATATGCATTTCCATTACCCTAGATATATTGTAAGTTCATGGCTCATTGCCTGTCCTTTTAATTGCGTTATTCACTCCCTCGCCAATAATTGATCTATATTATCAACTCTATATCCAATCACAAGGCACTAACTTCGAATCTAAAACTAAAACCTTCTTCAGACTGTAGCGGAGGTAGTAAAGCAAGGTAGGCTTCTACTTCACCCATGATAGCAATCCTAACAAGTGCAGCACTAAACCATCACATAGACTTGGGGTTGAGAAAGTGTTGTGTGTGTAATAACGTCCAACAGATTGTCTGATACACACAAAAGAAGTTCATACCTAAATCCACTACACAAGTATAGTATATACTAAGATTTACGGAAAAAGATTTATCACGTTAATTAAACCATTCAAAAGCAATTCGTGACTGAAAGCTATATACCATATTGTGTCTATATCACAACTTAACATATATATAGTAGAAACACTACCATGTATTTCTAAACTAATTACTAGAAAAAAAAAAGTAGAACAATAAAACACCTTTTTTCTGAAAACCGAAGTATAAACATCATAAAAATCACAAATATTTTTTTGTTTTTTGAAAATATAGTAGAAACAACTAACACAACCAACAATTTTTTTTTTAGAAGAACGTAAAACACAAACACAAAAACCTTTTTTTTTTTGGAAAACTAAGTAGAAACAACTAACAATTTTTTTGTTTTTTTTTGAAAAGAACGTAAAACAAAAACAAAAAAACAAATTATTATTTTTTGAAAACGAAGTAGAATCGAACAAAAAAAAAGAATTCATGTTTCATCAAACACTTACCAACGGCTCCTGCACCAAATGATGGTCAAGAAATCTCTTTCGGCTTGAAGATCATCGCCAAAACTAACAGTTCTTTTGATGCTTTCAATGGCGATCCTCGCTGCCTTTCTATCTTTATCTCTTTCCCTCTTCGAATTGGCTTTCTCTTCTTGCAATTGCTTATCCCACAATGCAGCCTTCTTCTTCATCTCTTCCTCATCATATGCGTCGCCAAGAACTTGTTGTTGGGACTTCACGATTATATGTGCATAGCGCTTCTTCAACATTGCAGCTCGAAGAAGTTGTTGTTGGGACTTTTCCAACGTCTTATCCTTCTCTGTGAACATAATGTAACGTAACAATGAACAAGCCAATTAATAAAAGCTGAATTTTGATAGAAAGAAAGTTGATCGAAGAGAAGATATGTATACGTAGAAAAATTACGCTTTCCTATTATTTTTTTGGAAATGGTTTATGAAAAAGTTTCCTAAACTAATAAACCGAAATACCAAATATGGTAACTTTTAGAAACGTGTAATTTTATTTTATTTTCAAACCTGAAAAGTTTTTATTATTTTCAAGCATTATCAAATTAATGTAAATTTTAATTTAAGTAAATTCAAGGTAGTCCATTTATGATTGTTAGTTAAATATGTGTGAGTTAAATATCTCTTTTATTCTTTATTAATTTTGCATATAGACCTTTTAATCTTGATTTTCATTAACGTAATAGTTTCTAAACACTAATTTTGAATATATTTAAAACACTGATAAGAGTAATTAGGATATTTTTTATAAATTGTCTGTCTTTTTTTTATTTTTTTAAATAATATTATGTACATTATTATCTAAATATAGATTTTAAAAGCTCTATATAAATGCATGTCTTTTTACACTACAACATGAACTATATATTTATGTACTTCAAATTAAAACCCCTTAATTCCTTTGTTCAAAAGACAAAAATACAAGTACAATCCAAGAGCCAATTACTCCTATGTCTTTTATAAACTATATATATCCCAAGTGGAACATAGAAAAGGTTTTAATCAAGGACGTTTTTGACATTTATGCAGAGAAAACATTAATTTGTTACCAAAATAATGTTATCCTCATATTTTATTTTTATTGTATTTTTACTCCTTCCTAAGATTCTCGACTCCAGTCTTTTGCTCTCTTAGTGACGCAAATTCACTACGTACCCTATTTAAAAAGATGACATTATTTTTTGAAACTATTAAATTAAAAAGAGTAAGAGTGTGAGATAAATCGTATGCGACTTTGAGGAAGTACTATTTTACATATCGTTGCATGACAAAGTGATCACAAATACAATACACACAATTTTTTAAATGGTCACTCAATTAAAATCAACTCATTCTTTCTTAAATGGTCACTCAATTTTTACATTACAATAATAAAAGTCACTAAAAGGATTTTTTATTACATAAAAATTATTCCATTTTGCTCAATGTATCATAGGAAGTCTTTACCATAGTCATGCACATAGATATCTAATCTTAAGGACGCCATAAGAAATCCACAAGAATGGCTGTTATATGCTTTTATAGCACCAAATTGCATAACCAGAGTAGCAATTTTCTATAGAAGCTTGTTGAACAAGTATTACTAGTTACTACTATTAGAATTGAGAAATCCTATTTTAAATTATTTGCTTAGATCGAGAGTTATTTAAGTTGATTTTTATAATTGAAGTTCGGAGTCAGAAAGATCACTTTTTTCCTTCAAAAAGCATAAACGGTCTATAAAAAAAAATTAAACTACAAGGGGCAAATCATCCTTGCACATAAATTAACCCCGTTAACTCTGTCAATAAAAAAAATCTTAAGAAAATCGCTGCTCCAACAACGATTTCTTCAAAAAATAAATTAATTAAAATATCAGCCATTTTTTTTTTTAAATGAAGAAAAAATGTGTTGTTTGGGTTTAATATCACCCTTTTCAATATTGCGGTTCGCTTTAATTTATTTTAACCCTTAACTCGATAAAATTAGAAGATTCTACCAAATAATTAGAGCCTGGAAAATTGGTGGAAATTCTCTAGTGTAGACTTTTGGCTACCTTAAATCATTTTAGGTGGTATATATTTTCTTATTGCAGCAGAAAAAAAAATGAGGCAAGACCATGGCCTTATCTCAAAGTCATCATGAGTTTGTAGTTGAGCAATATTTGATTAATTCCTATGGCTACTACTTCCTACAATCTACATGTATAACTTGATTTCATTAATGGTCAAATATTTGTATAATCGCAAAAAAAGCGTGTGATAGTTTAATAGTTAAAGGTTACTAATCTCAATGGATCTTTCCATTCTACTCCCTCTATCTACTTTTAATTGTCATGTCGCTTTTCGAAAGTCAATTTGACTAATTTTCAAAGTTAAATTAGATTACACTAATTTGATATTTTAAATAAAAAAATTTAGATATTCAAAAACTATATGAAAAACCCTATAAATTGCAATTTTTTGCATATCAATATGATGAAAAATACAACATCAAATGTTAGTCAAAGCTCTTATCGTTTAACTCTAAAAAAGGAAACCATGACAATTAAAAGTGAATGAAGATAATAATACTCTACTCGAGATTATTAATATATGTATCTATCAAATATTGTGATTTTGTTGATTGGTTAATTGGTCAAATTTTTGATCATATAACTATATTCAATCAAATATTGCTCAAATTGAAAACATATATAATGGGTTTGTACATGTGATCACTCAAGAGGACTTTGACATATTTCCTGCCCCAAGTTAGGCGAATTAACACCGTCTCATATTTTGAAAACTTTTAGGACAACTAGCAAGTCTTAGATACCTTCCAATAATAACCGGTAAGAATATGATCATGATATTCCACAAGGGAAGTCATAAATTTATCACTTTTTCTGTCGATACCTTCTTAATTGAGTTTATCCATTAAATTTACGTAATACAATTTACATTTCCTATATAATTGATAAAATTGTACATATAAATGAGTTCATCTAATACGCATTCAAAAGATTATTGTAATAACTTGTTAAATTAGGTCTTAGGCCTAACTCACACCCCGAAAGCTAGCTCATAGGGAGGATGATTGCCCAAGCCTTATAAGGAGTCCACCCATCTCATTAACCACCGATGTGGGACTTTTGTCATTCTTTAACATAACTCAAGCACGAAAATTAGCTAAATTAATTTATTTCTCCAATCTCATGGTATGTAAAATTATTTACAGTACATTCTTATAAAACATGAGTAGCCACTATAGAAAACATACAAAGAAATAATTCACTTCTTTTTTTAATCTGAAGCGGATTCCATGAGTTCAACTTTTAAGATTTTTATGAGTTTGATGTTGTGAAACTGCACCCGCCTCTGCTTTTAACCTCCACATCCACCACAGCCGCCACCACCACCACAGCCCCACCTCCACATCCTCCACCACCTCCTCCGCCACAGCCAGCACTCGTCCCCCCTCCATCACCACCACCACCACCTCCTCCACTGTAAGCACTGTCGATAACAGCGGCGGTGACAACTGTTGCAGCAGCAGCACCTAGAATAACCATTCCACCATCTCTCATTGTTGTATTGTCCTTGGGTTTAATTTCGCCCTTTTCAACATCGCGATTCGCTGGTAAAGGCTTTGGCGGCCGAGGAATAACTGGAGAAACACCGATCACATTCCGAGTCACGGGGGAACTCTTTTTCTTTCGGCCAATTTTGTAAAAACAACACAAAATTAAAACTAGAGCTGCTGCCACAGATCCACAGACAATGAGTGCAATTGCATATGCTTTCATCTTCTAATTGTTAATTGGTGCTCTGCTAAATATCCTTTGTCAGGCTTTTATAGCATCAGATTGGGCAACAAAGTCAGTTCAGCTTGCAAAATTAAATTTCTATACAAGTTCACTAATGATGAAGATTAAAATATTCTACCAAATAGGAAACTTTATGGAAATTCTCTACAGTAGACTTTTGGCTACCTTATTAAATTTTTATAAATATTCTCTTGTCGCATCAGAAATATAGAAAGAGGTTAGACCCAGTCACGTTTTGAGTGGAAGACAAGAAATGAGGCCGTTCCTTTGAATCTTTCTCTTGCTTAATTCCATATATGGTTAGTATTTAATTAGAGGTAACAACACATTATAGGTAATGTACAGAACCCCAAACTTATAAAATTAAGTGTACTATGTTATTATAGGCGGTACCTTTTTGAAAAAGATTCGCCAAACAAAATGGTACAAGCAGCAGCACCCTGGCCCCTACCCCTTCTCTGATTGCTTGCCCATTATGAGGGAAACAGAAACCTTGCGAATTGAAATTACTAGGATCAAAGGAAATTGACTGAGAAACTTGCATGAAGCTCGCTTCTCGCTTTTTTTTTATTTATTTATTTAAATTTTGTCGTTAAATTTTGAAAATTAAATGTACATCTGAAGGTTTCGGGGAATATTGTTTTCCAGTGATCAATGTGATGTCATCTTGTGTTTAGGTACTTTCTACTTTTACACTGCTCAATCGAACTTTTAAAATTTTTAGGGTTTTTTTTCTTTTATTTTGTAGTATTCTACTTTTTTTTAATCTTTTTCTGAATTTTTGAATTAGTGTCCATTCAATCATTATTAATATTATAGTGCATATTCAGAAGATAAGTAAATAACATCGTCAATCTTTTTAGATTATTTAATTTAATTTACTAGGTTTATCATTAATAAAAAATAAATAAATTATGAACCAATCAAATAAATTTAGTTTTGTTTTCATCTCTTTAGAATCGACTTGGAAAAAACAAGAAAAAGATACTATGAAACTAAGAAAAAAATAATACAATTAAATAAATTTTATTAAAAGAATATTCTCAATTTGTCTTTGAAATATAATGTTTAAGGTAAAACCATGTCTTTTTGAATTCTTCAATGCAGCATAGAATTGAAAAATGCCTAGAGAAGTGAAAAAAATTGTAACTGATATGTCCTAATGCTATTGTATAATGAGGATTATTATCTTATGGATTTATAAACGTAGTTGAGATATCAATAGGAGCGAATTTTGATGAGAAGTGCAATTATTGGTGTTTTTATCTTTAAATATAGATATAACTGTGGAACTCATTAAGATGTTAAAATTTATTAAAGCTTTTGAATTTCTTGAAAATATAGTACTCACTCCAATTCATATTAATTTAATTTTTGAAGTGTTTCACATCCTTTAAGAAAAGTAGATCAAGATATAAATTGAACATAGTTTTCTATTTTTACCCTTATTAATTATTGTCAAATTTTTGATTAAAATAACTAAATATTAATTAATCACTAATTCTAATACTAACTAATGAATGGTAAAATTGGAAGAACACTCTAAAGTAGTCTTGAAAACTGAATAATTAAGTTAATTTGAAAAATAAAAAATGCCTCAAAAATTAAATTAATATGGAATGGAGGGAGTATATGACGTGATATTTATACTACATTTAAAATTGCTAGAATGCAACTAATGTGGTTTCTTGGCCTAAAACATAAAATGTGTTCACATTTAATATTAACACATTTCATGATTACAATTATCTTTTACAACTCTCCAGCAACAGTTTCAGTGTTTCATAATTGTGCTGTAATATTTCTTAAATAGTGTGTTTATGACCTTTTAAATTGGGTAATGCTAATTGGTTAGAAAATTTGGTCAAAATTTGGTCAGAAATTTAAAAAGTGTATAATATTTTTATTTATTTTAAAGTAAACTAATATTTTTTCCATTTTTTAATTAGAAGGTATTAAAGTTAAAAAAATAAAAATGTTCAAAAAGATAAAATAACATAGGTAAAATACCATTCTGGCCAAACAGATTTTTCCTTTTAATTTTATGCAAATTAAATAAGAAAAAACAAAAGAGAAAAATATTTTTTTAAAAAAGATGAGAAGATAAATATGTTATTATTTAATTTTAAATTAATTAAATATTTATAATATTTTAATTTTGTATAAGAGTAAAATGATAATCCAACTTTGGGTTAAGATTTTCTCATTTTTAATATATTAGTATTTGGGGACACACATTGCACGTGTAGCCGTTACCCGTGAGCATAAGTATTTTTCAAAAATCACATAAATATGTTTAAAAAACCACGTAAAAAATCAATGACATCCAATATCTAAAGTGTCCAACTTTTTAAGATTCTTAATTAATACTAAATTATTTTTCTTGGATTTAGGAGTTAAAATTTGATATTAATTTGTCAAATTTTAATAGTTTTTATATAGATATTATATTATGTTTTGAACCAAAAAACAATTAAGTTAATTAAACCCATAGATTACATACTTATTAATCCGCTCATTTCATCAATTCACCCTCCTAGCACCAAATCTATATTATATTTCTAAAAAAAACTTCATTTGTTGTGGTTTCTTTACTCATCTCAATTATAATATTTTTTACTTAAAAAGGAAAATCAGCATTTCATTTAAATCGTATGAAACTGTTTTGATGAAATTTTGTACTTGAGAAACAAAAAGAGGCATGCTAATAAATATTATTACGAGATGCATGTGAGTGATGAGTAATAGTACTATAAACTTTGAAGGAGAAAGGGAGGTATACTTTATGGATCAAATAACTAAAATAATCAACTAAAATTAAAGCTAAGAAATTTCATATAATTTCATGAGAAATATAACCAAAATATCCTGCCAAAACATATGAAAGTTGTAATAAAACATGAGTTTTTTTTCTTCCCTTCTTTCTTTTGAAACGAAATTTCATTAAAGAAGTTTAAATTCAGACAGACATTGAAGCCAAAATCCATCATGTCATAGCTTATAAACACATTTTTTTTTATATGGTTATGCCATAGCTATTTCCTTACAACTACAAGATGGATAAACAAATACAAAGGAAGGTACCTACGTCGTATTAGTTTGATGCAACTAGCTACCTTTACACACTAATTAGACTAACTAGCTACATATAATAGTAGAACAAAAACTTATATACTTGCACAAGCATTCTCCAGGATGGTTTTGTATCAAGGATCCGATTTCTTAATAGAAACAATAAACCCTCCTCCTTTATCCGGGCTTGGGACCGGCTGTGTTACATTACAAACAAAACACAGGCGGAGTTAAAAGACTTTTTTTTTTTGGTATGGATCAGCATGACCTGCCATCACTTTACTATCATAGACAAGTCACCTTGAACAATTGAATTAACGACTAAAAAATATTTTGAATTTTTTTAGAATTTTAAATATTCCATAGCAAGGCATTGGATTATGCTAGAACAACTGAAATGTGACAACTCTCTGTCTTCGGAATGTGTAACGGGGAGAAGAAGCTCAAGTCTAATGAAGGGTACTGCATGAGTATATTACTACTATCACGAATTAGGTATGACCTAACCCCAGCTGAGAGGAAGCGTGGATATTTTGAAAAAGTCATTCAAAGGCTAGTCTTCGACTTTCAGTCAAGTAACCAAGATCCTAGTTTAACAGTAGAAATATAGGCCTCAATTACTTGGAGGAACTCGTGAGACTCCAACTGGCTCACTCACTGGGACCTGGGGATACGCAACATGGGACATAACGGGTCAATTGGTGCATATTATTCACACAGAATAGATATATTTGAGCTCATTTTTCGTCTGTCGTGATATACTTGGATAGATTTAGCATTTTGTTCGGATGCATTTCCATTGACCCTAGATATATTGTAAGCTCATGGCTCATTGCCTGTCCTTTTAATTGTGTTATTCTCTCCCTTGCCAATAATTGATCTATATTATCAACTTTATATCCAATCACAAGGCACTAACTTTGAATCTAAAACTAAAACCTTTTTCAGACTGTAGCGGAGGTAGTAAAGCAGGGTAGGCTTCTACTTCACCCATGACAGCAATCCTAACAAGTGCAGCACTAAACCATCACATAGACTTAAGGTTGAGAAAGTGTTGTGTGTAATAACCTCCAACCGATTGTCCGATACACAAAAAGAAGTTCATACCAAAATCCACTACACAGTATAGTATTTACTAAGATTTACTATATATTGAAAAATATTTCATAAAAGATTTAGCACGTTAATTCAACCATTCAAAAGCAATTTGTGATTGAAAGCTATATACCATATTATATATATATATATATAGCCTAGTTAATCTAACCCTTAAAAGTATATGAAATACTACGGTGTATTTCTAAACTAATTACTAAAAAACACGCAAACAAATTATTATTATTTAAAAAAAAAAACGAGGTAGAAACAACAAAGACACAACCTTTTTTAAAAAAAAAACCGAAATAGACACGACAACTAGAAAAACACAAAAAAAAATAAAAAAATGAAAAGAAAGTAAAACAATAACTTGAAAACACAAAAACGATTTTTTTTTTTTTTTTAAAACAAAGTAGAAACAACCACAAGAAAACCCACAAACAGTTTTTTTTTTTTTTTTTTGAAAACAAAGTAGAAAAAAGCAACTAGAAAACACACCAGAAAGCATGCAAACACTACATCAACGAGAACATTTTCATCAAAAACACTTACCTAGATCCGATAATTGCCAAGAAATCTCTTTCGACTTGAAGAGCATCATCAAAATGAACCGTCCTTTTCATGCTTGCAATAGCAATCCGTGCCGCTTCCCTAACTTTTTTCCTTGACTTTGCTTTCTTTTCTTTATCTTCTCTCAATTCCTTTTCCCACGAACAAACTTTCTTGTCCATCTCTTCTTGATCATACGCCTCGCCAAGAATTTACTTTTGTGATTTTATTATCATCTTAGAGTAGCGTTGTTTTAACTTGGCTTCGCGAAGAATTTTATCATC